CTAATTCTTTAACTTTTGGAACTTGCTGTTGAGTCAAGAATCATAGAAAAACCATCTTTCATTGAACACTTGTTTTTCATAGGATTATCTCTTTTATTCCTTACAACAACACTATAAAGTATGTATTGCTATTGTCCCCAATTTCAGATAAGGAAACAGGTTCAGAGATATTAACATGCTGACCATCAAACATGTAATGACAGTTGGATCCAGGACTCAAACATTTGTGCACCAAAGCTCCTCACTGCGTTGTAGAGCCCAAGAGAGACCTTCGAATGGTGGTGGCCAAAGTGATAAATAGGGAAAATCTGTCCAGTGGATTACAAATGTGTAAAAATTAGAAATACAACTCTTTACAAATATGAAATGAAAAGAGGGATTTTAGAGACTGTATGGTGAATCAGGAGCAAAGCAGGATTTCCTTGCCACCTGATGTTATTTAAATCCTCCCAGGCACAGAGAAAGACTTCTCTATTCTTTATACAAAAGGGTCCTAATTCTGATACCAAAATCTAACAAAGCACACACAGAAACTATGACCAAATATAAAAATGCAAGCAGCTTAAATAAAGTAAGAGCAAATAGACCTGCCAACGTATGAAAAGAACAATACAGGCTGGAGTGGTCGAAATGTAGACGGGTGGCCACTGCCCCTAGCGGCCAGCAAGGTGCGTCCTCCTTGGCCCCGCTGTCCTGCAAGAGGCCGGAAAAGTACACAGGTACCCCAGGAGGCTGCGCAGCCCCAGGCCCACGTCCATCACCGCGTCCTGCTCTGAGCCGCACGCAAGCCAGATGTTGGCGCAGTAGCCGGACTCACAGATGCCGTCGCCCACGGATGTCGGGGCGTACGTACCACTTGAGCGCCCACCTTCTGGGCAATGGTGCGGCCCAGTCGAGCGTGTGTGCTTCCTGCGGGTTGTCCTGCCTCGAAGTGCTGCAGTGGTGTGAGCGGTCTGGCAGCAGCCTGGGAGGGAGCGGGGATAGGGAGTGAGGGGAAGGCAGGGGGGCAGGGCGTGCTGGGAACTAAGAGTAAAGACGCGCGGAGAAATTACCTGGCGTGTCCGCCCTCACCCTCCCGCCAGATCAGCGCCGGGGAGCTGTAGCAATAGCCGCCTCAGTAGCCGCAGCACGAGGGAGCGTTGACGCAGGGGCCACTGCAGCACATTGGAGTCTCTGGAGGCGACTC